ATGGTGCACATTATTTGTGTGGTTATATGAAGTTGATTAGTTACTATGTGTAGAAGAGACAATGTTTTTGTGGAACATCTCCTTTGATTATCCTGCTTGACCTCTTCTTGGTAAATAAAAAAAAAAAAAAAAAAGTTTTGAAACTTATTTAAAAAGTCTGGTGATTTGTATAATCTGGGTACAAATGGAGCAGGAAATGGACTTAATATAATTTGTGGGTGGCCCTGTGCCCTCAACAGAAGTTGATCGTTGGATTGACTTTCGCTGAAGGGACATCTGCTTTTATTGCGTCGGGTGGTAATGACCAGACCACCCCACAGCTCGAATTTTGGCTGATCCGGCAGTGGTCGACCAAAATTTGAGCCATGCATGGCCAGCTTGTTACTGGAGCCGATTTTTTCCCTGAGTTCATGGCCATGGTTTGAATTTCAGCCAGAATGTTTAAGGGAACCTTCACTCCACATCCAAATCATCTCCAGAACAGATTGTTCCCGGACCCAAAATGCATCCTAATGTGTCCCTATGCTATTTCTGGCCTCTGTTCACACCAGCGCAGTCTATACCAGAAAAATACTGCAGGTCTAATTTTGTCTGGAATGCACTACAAATGCATGGAAACATGTGCAAACACTGGAACGCACCTAAAAGCCCATTTAAAGCTTGAACGCACCAAAACGCAATGCACTGCATTCTACATCTGGTCCGGAAAATGGTGTGAACCTCCCCTAAGTTTAAACTGACTAGAACATGAATCCAGTTTTATCCATTCTCAGGGACAACACTGTTAATGGGCTATCTGTGCCTTCCTTTATTCACCATGTACAAGCTGGGTCTGGATTGGGAACTGGCAAACTGCTTTCATGAAGTGCCCTTCACACTACTACCCTATTCTCCCGCAATAAAATGCATACAGTTTGCTGCACAAAGATGCAAAGCAAGTAGAGTTTAATGGTTATTGCATGGGGTGGGGGTAGGAATTAGTGTAATGAAGATTAGGCCATAACATAACACAGTTCACATTTCCTGTGGATTTTTAGCATTGTGGGAGCATGCATCACGTGATGGAGGAGCTGCATCCCATTGACCGGAGGAGCTGCATCCCATTGACCGGAGGAGCTGCATCCCATTGACCGGTAAACATTACTATATCTGTGCAAAGAATAGTTAAGGCAGTTGGTGAAGTCAAAGGTGGGATTTATAACTAGGCCCAGCATCTCCCACCCAAAAAAGAAAATTTCCCTTTGTGGCAGGGCCCATGCATTTGGCGGGTGGTTCTGATCGCTGCCAAGTACAGTACAAACACTTGTTTTAACGTATATAACCCTAACCATGAACCTTGCTTCTCAATTTGTATGCAGGTAAACATACAATCGTGACCAGGATAATAAACCACCGATAAAGGATAACACACAAAGCATAAAATCTTTTAAAATTTAATTTTACGCAAAGGACAATTAAAAACTTACATCATAACAGATGAAGCATATAACCCACAAGGGGTATATTGTACTAATCCCCACACCATGGAAGCAGAGAAACTTGCTCAGGTGTAGACCCGCAAGATTTTTTTTTTTCTTTTTATCGTTGGTTCATTATCCTGGTCACGATCGACCTGTATGGGGAGTGCGGAGGAGATCGCTGATCTAAAGAAAAAGTGTTGTGGGAAAAGGATACGTTGTTTCTCTTAAGCCCTCGTTCACACCTGAACGTTTTGTAGCGTGTTCTACGCTCGACGAACGCTCTACAAAACGCTCAAACATCTAAATCCCATTGTATTCAATGGTCTCGTTCCCACCTTGGCGTATTTGGGCCGTTTTTGTTGCGCGTTTCCATTGGGATACAGCCAAGTAGCCTTCGGAAACGCGCGACGGTCGCACGACTTTTTTACCGCGAATCGCGGTAAACCGCACGCCGGTCACGCATATGCAATACGCCTAGGTGTGAACGAGACCTAAAAGGGTTGTGATCTATTCACAGAAGAAGCTATAGGGAAGCTGTTTCCTTGGCTTTGGAGAAGGAACATTCTATTACACCGTGATTTGAGTGATTCTGATGAGTGGGGAGCATTGATGTTTTAGTCGGAGTGGGATTACCAGATTTCACTATCGACTTTGTTTTTTATATACATTTTTTGTTTCACCATCACATGAACTTGTCACCAATGTTCCTTGCATTTTGAAGCTAGGATGGATTAAGTTTTTACTGAATTATGATTATGTATATTGTTTATGAATTCACTTGTACATATTTCATGTTCAGCTTAATGTGATAATGCTGACTGATCACAGGTTAATATTTTTGGGTTATATTTGTTTCACATTTTAATAAGGGAGAGCGTGCGGGTTTATCAATAAATCTCCCCTCTATTCACAGAATGACAGGATCCCTTCCCTAAACAAGACATGCTGAACGGGCACTGTATGGTCGCACCACATTTGTATTAATAGCATGTTAAAAACCAGACGAAAATCGTACCATTCTCGGCTGGTTTTCCAACATGCTCGCAATACAAAAGTGGTGCGACCGTACGCCTTCCATTCACTGCACGTTTATGGTATAATTGCGATCATCCGATGACTGCAATGCTGAACGGGCACTGTACGGTCGCACCACATTTGTATTAATAGCATGTTAAAAACCAGACGAAAATCGTACCATTCTCGGCTGGTTTTCCAACATGCTCGCAATACAAAAGTGGTGCGACCGTACGCCTTCCATTCACTGCACGTTTATGGTATGATCGCAGGATTTCCCGCGATTCTCATACGATAATTGTGCAGTATAGGGGCACCTTAAGTCACAGCACTAGAATAATGCTGAAAGTAACTTCCAGCATCAGAGAAGCCAGGACATTGACTCTGAAGAGCAGAGATCTGCACATAGCGTAGTCATCAGGAGGCGACTTGTGGCATCGTAAAGAATACCTGGAGGTTCGCTTTGACTATTAAAAGTGTCTGCTCATTTTCTTTTTCACTCCGATACACCCCTCATAATAGCTCCTATTTAGTACCAGTCATGAGCCATTGCTTTTGTTAGAGGAAAGCTGTACTGAATGACGAAGGTAGGCTGCAGCTTCTGCAAATGCTAGTTAGCTGGCTATCATCTCACCAGTGACACTATGGCGTGCCACCATAGGAGTTGGTGGGCATTCTCTCTGCTCTTTAGCCAGCCAATCACTGGCAAGTTCCCAACAGCAGCAAGATTACTAGTGTGACATGACCCCCAAGCTCCTAATTGTTATTCTGATTGTATTTGAATGGAAAGAAATAGGATTGGGTAGAATACATATCTTCAATTCCTCTAAAAGTGCCATGGATTTTCTTTATTTTCAGAAGTCTTAAACACATCAGATTAAAAAATAAAAACAGTACATATGTAAAGCAAAAATGATCTCATGTTAAGAAAACAAACAATTGGAGGGAAACCATTAATGATTCATTAAACGAATGATAACATATGAAATGGCGAACACTGTATAACAATCACATTCCAAGTGCAATTCTCATCCCATCAGGGGAAAGGAAGTCTTTTAGTCCTAACTCAGAACTGCCGGATCATTGTTCAAAGGGCACGCTGGGTGCAACAGAAAAATGCGTCCCACAGGCATCAGCAAACAAAGTGCCATTTGGACGTTTCAATATTAACTTGTATGGATAAAAAAAAAAAACTGACCAAAATCGAAGGAAAATTTATATAAGGGTGACCACAAAAGGGCCCATTAAGACAGAGATCTGCTGCAATGTTGTGTCTATGCCAATAGGATAGTACACGTTATACGATTTGTACAGTTTTAGGGTGAGTGGGTGCCTCCAGAGAATGATGCTACAATAGGGGTAAGCAACCTTGCACTCCAGCTGTGGTTAAAACTACATATCCCATAATGCCTCTGGGACTCATGTCTTTGGCTGTCAGAGTCTTGCAATGCCTCATGGGGCTCGTAGTTCCACGAGAGGTTGCCTACATAAAATTTTACTTGGCATGACCCTGAGCAGATTTTCTGTTGAATTTCCTGTGCCTCTGGAATAAATCTGCCCGTGTATAGCCAGCATCAGACACAGAATGGCTTCATATGTAATTCAATTAGGATGAGTGGATTTGGAATACGTTGCTACAAGAATTACATTTATACCATAAAGCAGCAAAATAAATGTCATTTTTCCTTACATATTCTTCACCCCCACACTCAATGACCAGTCTACCTCCCACAAAGGACCTGAAAAGCCAAATTGGCCGGAGGGTTTTGATTCCACGCAGCTTGACCCTTGACAGCCATTTAAAAAAAAAAAACAAGTTGACCCCTTTACGTTTCCTGATTATTTAGATGAAGCAGCCAATCATAAAGTCCTCTACCAACTGCACCACAGAAATCATTGTTAAAGCGCACTTCCATAGCAAGAAAAAGACCAGCAAAAGATTCTGCAGTTGCCATGTACTGACACCGAGGCTCCATCCCTTTTCACAGCCCCTTTGTACATCTCAGGAAGAGCCCTTATATTTACACTTATCAAGGATCAAGCGTCCATTTGCACAGACATAACCTCCGCGTGAATAGGTGACCCGCAATCACAGTTTACCTGCAGACCATACTCTAATACATTAAAAGGAGAACTATGAGGTGAGTGAAAATCACTCACCTCATAGTTCTAGCTGACCTGTGACAATGAGACTGTCACAGGTCGGCTCAGTAGATCGGGAGGTGAGCGAACACATACCGGCGTTCGCTCACCTCTCGATCCTGTCACGGCTCTCTGCCGTGACAGGGGAGGGGCTGGATTCCCCTCTCCGATCCGCCAGCGCTGACTGGCGGAACGGGAGGGGGCGGGTACAGCTGGCTCTGCCTCTAGATAGGCAGAGCCAGCTGTCACTCACGCAGCTGGGTGGATCCCCACGTCCATGTCGGGATCCGCTCCGGCTGCGGCGTCTCAGTATACCGTGAGCTGTAGCTCGCGGTATACTGAGCTTAGGGTGATGGGAGGACGCTAGTTTGTGTCCTCCCGTTACCCTAAGGAGAACTATGGGGGAAAACACTGACCCCATAGTTCTCCTTTAAAGATGGCCACACTCACACACTACAATTGAATTGTACAATATCCCTTAGATCAAGCAACAACTATGCAGTGTTAGGCTGGACATATACCTATGAAATTTTTCCGTTCAACCCGGGAGCTGAACGAAAAAAAATGTACCCGCTTCCTCCATCAACACAAACAGCGTGTCGATCGAGGGATCCTGCTCTTTACATTGTATTCCGACAGGTGCCGCCTCATTGGCTGCTGGCCCTGATCGATCGAAAATTTTCCAGCAGGCTTTTTCAATCAGTTGATCGAGGAATGCCGGCTGAAAGGGAGCCGCAGCCACACACACTGTGCGAATTTCGTCCGGTACATTAAAAAACGGCCGAAATGCGACCAGTGTATGGGCACCTTAAGTTACTAATTAAGAGAAGTATGGAAATAGTGTTTTTCCCCATAGATCTCTTTAGGGTCACAGGAGGACATATACTAACCTCCTCCCATGACCCAAAGCTCAGTATATTGTGGGCTATTGCCCGCGGCATACTGAGAGCGCTGCAACCGGGAGGGATCCCTGACAAAACTGTGTGAGTGACAGCTGGCTCTGCCTATCTAGAGGCAGAGCCAGATGTGCCCGCCCCCTCCCCTGTTCATTCCTCGGGAGGGGGGACTGACAGTCACTGAAGGGAGACAATCGGGAAGTGAGCGGATCGGCTGCATGTTTCTGCTCACTTCCCGATCAATAGAGCCGACCTGTGACAGCTTCTTTGTCACAGGTCTGCTCTAACTATGAGGATGAGTGGAAATCACTCACCACATGGTTCTCCTTTAATCCATTAAATTGAAATAAAGTTAGGCAGGCCCTGGCACTACACAGTACTTGGTAGACCTGAAGGGAATTTTGCAGTTTGCAATGTCTATGGCAAGGGAAGGCAAGCTCGGCACTCCGGATGTGGTGAAATTACAAATCCCATCATGCCTATGGCTGCCAGAGTCTTGCAATGCCTGAAGTGACTTGTAGTTCCACTACAGCTGGAGTGTGGAGGTTGCCTACCCCTGGTCTATGGCCAGCCTTTGAGCTTCCATGAAACATAGTGAGCCACTTAAAGTAGGAGCAACCTGTATCCGGACCTGCTGGGGCTATATACAGTTTTGTTCATAAAGCAATACCTATATTATATCATTCCCTGTGAGTGACACAATGCTTTGCTCACTGAACTAAGAAAACATGGCAAAATGCACCTGGTTATTCTGAGGTGATTCAAAATGGCTGACCAATCATCTATGTGATGCTTCAGAGTGCAAAAAAACATAACAGAAAAGAACAACGGTCACAACAATAATGAGCTTTAGTGGAAAATCAAAAGCAGCAGTGCAATTCTGAAATCAATCTACGGACGGCTGAGGCGACAGCTCGGGGGTTCCGATGGCTTTGGCTGGGCAATATCGAGTTTGGTATCACAAGCAAGGACAAGAATGGACTGCTGGACAGGTTTTAAAAAAGGGACTAAAACAGTGAAAAACATAAGAGGATATTTGAGGGGTAGAGAGGGACTGTGAGGGAAAAAAAAAAAAGGGTTTAGGAAAGAGAAAAAATAAATGGCATTACCATGCTCCATCTCCTTCAGCTTTCAGGACATACAGCGTGACAGACTCCTGGCCATGTTTCCTCTTACACATTATAAGGCATAGAGCTACAATGTCCAGTAAGAATGGAAGGATGAGACGATGAAGGAGGATATCGGACACCTCGCAGCGTCGAGGGAAAAGGCTTTTCCATTAAGTCTCTTTTCGGCGGGATTCTACACGTGTGAATAGGTAGTACTTTGACTTTCCGGTTACTGGAGAACACTTTCATGCATCGGAAGAGAGAGGAGTTACTTATTCACACAGCTGGGCCACGACAGCCCTCCGCAAGCTGCCGACACAATGATATAGATAATGACCTGGGGCAAAAATTGAAGCAGAATGCAACTTAAAGGAGTTGTAAAGTTCCAGCATATCGTATCATGTTATAACATCAGCATTGTAATAGGAATACATACTGGAGAGGTTTCTGATAATGCAATCAAAGCTTACTTAAAAGTCCCTTTTATGTAGTGAGTGCTGCCTCCTGTCTGCCCATCACTTTCACCACCTTCCTGGATACCCAGTGTGCTTTGCATCTCTTTCCCTGCTGCTTGATGTGAAAATCTCCATTTCTCAAGACTACATATCCCATCACGCATTGCTTAGAGCAAGCAATGATAATGTTACATTGTGGGAAGTTCAGAAAGCATGCTTACTTAGCGTTGTGACACAAGGAAGTGCATATTCACAGGGCTGAGCTAACTGGCATTGAGGAAGTCCATCCCATGGACTTCTTCAATAGGTAAGTTTAGAAACTTCTAGATCAATATGGTTATGAGGAGTGGGATAGAACGCATGGAAATTCAAAAACAGAAATTCAGATTAAGTTTGAGTTTTTAACCATGGAAACTAGGGATGCAACAATACAGTTTTTTCGGTATCAAGTACGAGTATCGATATATTTTTTTTCTCCGGTACTCGCCTATACCAAATACCGATACCGAAAGTCTCAGTAAGGAAGCCAGGCGGCGTGTAATGACTCGCCGCCCAGCTTCCTAATTAGCCAGGAAGCTGGCTCCATGCTCCCTCGTCAACAGGTGATGAAGCATGGAGCCGGTTTCCTGGTTGGCCAGCATCCTGACAAATCAGGAAGCCGGGCAGAGAGTCATTACATGCCACCCGGCTTCCTGATTGGCCGGGAAGCCGGCTCCATGCTCCCTGGTGACGAGGAATCAGGAAGCCGGGCAGCGTGTAATGACTTGCGACTCCGCTTCCTGATACCAAAAGTTCCGGTATCGGGATAACTATAGGGAGCATTTGGCCGAGTACGAGTACTCACCCAAATACTCGGTCTCGGTGCATTCCTAATGGAAACACAATAAGATAGGTCCGTTGTCAAATTATATTTAGGTATTTTAGTACTGAATAAAAAGTTGCCCCTTCTTTTAAACCCTCCCCCCCAAAAAAAAGAACAGCATGACTACTAAGTCCAATAATCTATTTTATTAATCAGCCAGTACACTTTAAAAATGATTGTAGGTAATAATGAATGTAGGGAAGGCAAACAAAAAAGAGAATACACAAGTCAAGAAGTGTCTGCATTCTGCAGGTCCCACTCTAGGCCCAAATATCCTACAATATCCTTCTGCAGGTGCTTAGGGCTCTTGATTGATCCCTACTGGAACCAAGAAAAATAGATCTGCACTACTTCTAACTCCAATAATACATGTCCTGCAAGACTCAATATCTGCCCCCAGGGGGGAGGAGCCTGCATCCAGCAGATGTACTCATTCTCTGAATAATCTACAGCAGGGGTAGGCAAGCTTGTCCCATGAGACACTGCAAGACTGACAGCTAGAGGCCAAGGCATGAGGAGATGAGTAGCTTCACCACAGCTGGAGTGCCAAGGTTGCCTACCCTTTCCATAATTTTTTCAGAGAATATCTCGCCACAGAAGCAGGCTCCACCCCCAGAGACGAGCCTACAACTTGCAGGAGATGTACTCATTCTTTGAATCTTCTATGGACTTGTTGGATTTAGTAGTAGCAAGGATCTATTTTTCTTGGTTCTAGTCGGGATCCATGAAGAACCCTAAGCAACTAGGGGAAGTTATCGTAGATACCAAGAATACTTTCTCATGGCTACTGGTCAGCTCACAAAGACAGCTATTTTTCTTTCACGTGAGCTTCAATGAGAGAGACTGCAGGGACCGGTCTAACAGCCAGCTGGCTGCGAGGTTCCGATGAGTATAACTCCGTTATTTTCACTCCTTGACGAAACCAAGCACTTAACCCTTGCAGTGCGGGGGTAGCCCAACTGCAAGGGTTAAGAACATTTTTGCCCAGAGTTCTTCTATAACTCAAGAATTCCAAGACTCCGCTTCATATGATCCAATCCGGAATTTAAACATTGTGTGCCGAATACTACACAAAGAAAACACGAATGCCCGTCTAATCCTTATAGTACATCCCCAATTCCAAAAACAGTTGGGGCTCTGTAGATTTCAGTGCCCCAACTTTTTGGGAATTGGGGTTGTAGAACTCCAGCCAAAACAGGATAGAACCTGGTTTTCATTATGGTCTGTGAACCTGCTGAGGAGATTCCCCCTCACGTCCTGTTTGGTCCCTTTGCCCCAGACCTGTCCCGCTGCCCTTCCTAATGATCTGTTCAGAAGATACGGCTGCCAAATAAATCTTCACATGAGACACTTTTAGAAGTGTCAGCTGCCTCTATCCCCCCTACTATACACTCTGGTTCCTTCCAATAACCCCTACCTCACTGATGTGTGACACAGGGGTCGGCAGAGGAAACCACAGAGTACAGTGGGGGCCCAGGCATTCAATGCACCCAAAGGTTTGTCGGACGTGAGGAGGCCATTGCTCTGCAGCACAGTGGAAATTGGAGGAACGGACAGAAGAACAGGTAAATATAAAGCCTCTTCTTTCACAGGTCATGCTTTGTTACATCTTTAGAGCCATAAGACACAGAGGGGAATTTATCAGAACTGGAGCAAACAAAATCTGGAGCAGCTGTGCACAGCAACCAATCAGCTTCTTTCTTCAGTTTGTTCAGTTAAGATTTGAAAATGAAATCGAGAAGCTGATTGGTTGCCATGCACAGCAGCTCCAGATTTTGTCTGTCCAGTTTTGATAAATCCCCTTGACAGTCTCTTTAAACAAAAATGGGTTAGCGGAATACTTACTACTGTTACAACAACAATAATGATGGTCAGCTTCAAATTCTTCATGCACATAGCCCGGGCCAGGTTTCTGCTTGTGGTCTTAAAGGTGACAGACTAGAAAAATAAAATGCACCAATTACAGAGCAATAAATGTCATGACCGTTGAGCCAGGGTTAGCTTTATATGCTTTTAAATAAGCGCTCTCAGAGACTGATAACATTGTCTAATGAAGTAAATACGGCCCCTCCTCACTGACCCTGCTCTGATCTTTATTTTGGACTTACAGAACCGGGTTAAATTGCTTTTAAAAAGTAAATGTATAGAATTTGTATATCATTTTTCTTCTTTACCAAAATATACCATTTCAAAAACATTTCCTTTTTCAGTCTGGTAAAAATAAAATGAATAGATTTAGGATTTCCAGCCAGAAGGTGAAACTCTAAACTCCTATTCCCATTATTACACGGCTACTCATCACATTTAGGCCCCATTCACCCTTAACGACATGAAAATCGCGCGATATTGAGCGACTTTTTCCTATTGGGCTGTATGCAATCAGGAGCAATATCGCTCGAAAAAAGGGTCATGTAGGAGCGACAAGCTACCAGCGATATTGAGCGACGAGATGTGAACAGCTCCATTGAAATGGATTGGAGAAGCTACATAGAGCGATATCGCGTGGAAATATGAGCGATATCGCTGCAAAAAACGCGCGATAAATCGATCAGTGTGAACGGGGCCTTACTGTATACGCGCCGGCTGGTGACACAATTTACAAACACTGAATAATCGGAGGAGAGACTCTTTCCCTCCCTGACTGCTCTCTTCAGACAGGGCAATATGGTGTTTTCAGTCAGAGAGAGTCTTAAGGTTCAAAAGGAGAACTATGAACTAACAGCTTCTACTCTTTACGATGGGCGTACCATGTCTTCAATGTTTATTTGCAAAATAAAGATTTGATACAAAAAACTAAAATAAAACATCATGCTAAAAAGATATAAACTTCCTGTTTCCCTGGAGTGCTCTCCTTTATAAAAACACTGGTGTATTATGTGGCGTCATCAACATTTGTGTACACTTACAGAGTCAACAAGGTTCTCCGTTTTATCTATTAATAACTCTAAGCGTTCTCCTCTCTGTGCCACAAGATCTGTAAATAAGCCAAATAGAAAAATGAGTTACAATAATAAAAAAAAATTTAAAAAATTTGGTCATTAATAAACAAAAGCAACAAAAAGTGCTCATTTGCACCATTGATGGGTGGCATGCAGTTTGATGCACCCTGTGCTGCAATGCGTTGTTGACACACATTGCGGTGCTCTTTTTGTTCCCAATTGCTTTGTTCTTCTTATGTAATGCATTGTGTTGCAGTGCTTTATACCGCATCAGAATGCACTGTGCACAAACACTGTTTTCTTTTAGCAGACAAGTCAGACAAAGACGGGCCTGATGTTAGAGAAAGTGACCAGGGATAGGGCTGCCATGACAGTCACCAGGGGACGTTGTGTAGATCACATGATGACCACGGTAGACTAAACTGAACACCTAATCTGAACCGATTTCAGCCCCTCTTAATTAAACCATTCCACCAATATTACATCAGAAACTACAAATACACCAAATGCAACAGCCCCTCCCTCCCCCCCCCCCCCCCTTCACACAGTGACCCAGCTCCCCACCTCGGGATCGTGCGCCTCCGACCCCCCCTCCTCATCAAGACCCCCCTCTATCACAGCCTGGTGCGTTAAGTCCAGGATCTTTTCCATGACTGTTATGCTCCTCAATGTTGCCAGTTTGTTGCTTAGATCCAGAATCTGGGCTTCTAAACAAACAACTCGCTCACATCTAGCGCAACATGCACTTGGTTGCGTACCCACTCATGGAAGACATTATTTCCTTTTTATTATTTTA